AAACGGGTCAATTATTCTTCCCCGTTTTATTAGCTTTTTTAGATACTAATTTATAATAAGAAAATTCTCGGTTGCGAAGCTTAGTGAATAACTAAGAAAAATAAAGATCTTGAAATTAAACGATTTTATTGTTTTTATGTTCGTTTTGATTTGGAAAAAGAAAAACATAATATGAAAAAGAAAATGTTATTGGTATGTTTATTGGTGTTCTATTGTAAGATTTAAATATTTTGTAGAAGATTTGGCGATTATTTAGAAGATTCTAAGGTGTACAACGTTTGAGAAGTGTACAACGTTGTAGCACAGACTCTAATTGATTTTTTAATTAAAACAACGAAAAATATTCAAAAAAATCGTTTTAAAAGTTGTTTGTGGATATGGATAATTTTTGATTTAAAAAATGAATAAAGAGCTAAAAATTGTTAGATTTTACCCCTTTTTAAATCAATTAAACCTTTAATAAAAGTATCATTTTAATATTGTAATTATATAACCTTTTATCTTTTTAATTAAAAATCATAATAAGAACTACAAATATTCAATAATGGTTGAAAACACCATAAAGCAATGGTGAAGAAAAAAGAAAAAAGACAACCAAAGGCAGACAGCAATTTGAGTAATGGCCAGAAAGAACAGGAGAAGACGCAACAAAACGAAAATGAGAGTAAACCCGAATGTTATCAACTTGTGGGATATTCAATAGACGATCATAAGTAAAAACGCCTCTGTAATATTTAAATGCATATTGTGTCAACTTTTTTGTATTCTATTTTATTTTTTTACTAAAACAAGTCTAAAAATAAATCATTATAAATATAACATTTAAAAATATAAGTCAAAAAACTTACATTTCTTTCTTATTCCCAAAAGTGCATTATAGGGTTTTTCTTTTTCTTTACACAAAATGAAAAGATGGTAAAAAGTCAAAATTGACTTGTTTTTGTTCTGGAAGATCTACCAAAATCGACAAGGGATTTATCATTTACAACCACTTTATCACACCCCTGTATATCGATTTGTTTTTATTTTTTTCATTTATAAAAACTATAATTTAATAACAAAAATATTTTAAGAAAGTCAAAATGTTATTTATTTTTGTTTTTTCATTACAATCCAAATATTATTATTTTGATTTATGGCAAATTTGCCCAAATGGTCAAGTTTTTGGTTGAGTGAATAATTATATCGCAATCTAAATAAAAACTATATTTTATTATTTTGAAGAAATATTAATTTATTATTTAAAAAACCATTGAAATAGTAAATTATTTTTTAAGTGAGTTACTTTTATAAAAATGAGTCAAAAGCGAAGTAGTGAGTCATTATTTGACAAGTGAGTTTTAAAAGTGAGAGGTGAGTTAATAGCCATTATAAAATAAATTAAAATTTATTTTATAATTATTGAACACAAAATAAACTGTATTTCAAAACTCTGTACCGTTTCTGAAAATAAACCCTTTATCCTAATTTCCCATTATTTGCTGTTTTTTATTTTTTATTTTCCTTTTTTGTTAAAATGATAACGGTACACAGTTTTAAACCCTTAAAAATCAATACAGTTTCAATTATTGAACAAAAAATCGGGAAATCACCCAAATATTGGGTAAATTTTTCCCGATTTTCCAGGTTCGTTATTTGGTTAGTGATCCATTTTGTAAATAAAAGTTAGTAAAATTCTATCTTTCAAATAAACATAAGATAAACGACAATAAAACAATAAACAAACGATGTGATGAAGGACATTATTGCATCAAATGATACAACACTTTTACTAACAATCCGTTTTTATTTATTTTAACAATTATAAAATGGCCATCGATAACATAAAACGACAAACATATAAAAGAACAAGGCCATTTATCAAAAGAGTCTTAAATGAAATAAACAGTTAAAAAATAAAAAAATAAAACTTTTCAATTGTAAAATCTTAAAAGTTTTTTAAATCTGGTTTTACTTGTTTATACTTTTCATTTTTATCTGAAACACAACTTGGTGATTCTGTAAAAGTAGATATTGAATTAAAAAGTTGTGTTTTCATTTTTGGCAAAATTTGTGTTATGGTAATCAATATTTAAATCCCAAATTTGTTTTTTATATTTTTCAAGTAAATTTTTGGTGCAAGATTTATTTGTCAAGTAAAATTTAAAAAATTCGGGTTTGTTATTTTGTTTTTTCGAGTAAATATTTTTAACAAAAAATGAGGGTTAAGCAAAGGAAAAATTATTTAGATATTATTTGTCTAAAAAATCGGGGTATCCCAGTACAGAGTTTTGAAAAACAGTTTAATTATAATTAAATTGTATTTATATTTTAGAATGATATATATATATATATATTATTTTTGTATTTTTACAATAGTATCTGTTTTGAATCTTTTTAAAAAGTAATTAAAAGTTTTAAAAACTTCAACAATAATTACAAAATTTAAAATTCATATTAAAGTCGACCAGAAAATTGTCGTACACCAGAAAATACTCGTACATTTCCAAAAATAAAATTTATTTTTTAAAAAAATAATTTTACTCAAAGAAATTTCATTTTTCACTTTGATTTTATAAACTGATTCTTTTTTGATCTTTATTCTTCCAAATGATGCTTTAAATCATTTTTGATGTATTTTTTGTTCTTTTTTACGAAATTAAATTCTTTGAAATTTTATATGTTGTTAAGATTATCATTTTTTATAAATTGTTTTTTTTGTTATTATGTAATTAT